TCTTGTATAGCACATATGGTTGTACTTTTGTTTCAGGCTAGACATGTTGAGCAATGTGTCTCTAAGATCCGGTGTCACTGTAACAAAGCATTGTGACAGGATAAAGGCTAATTAAATTCCAAGCCATTTGTGGGAAATAATGCAGGAGACATTGATCCTATGATGATGCTCCACTGTAATCACTATTTCAGAGTAGCAGCCGTGTTAGTCTGTATTCGCAAAAAGAAAAGGAGGACTTGTGGCCCCTTAGAGACTAACCAATTTATTTGAGCATAAGCTTTCGTGAGCCGATGAAGTGAGCTGTAGCTCATGAAAGCTTATGCTCAAATAAATTGGTTAGTCTCTAAGGTGCCACAAGTCCTCCTTTTCTTTTTGTAATCACTATGTTTGTAGCATCCCAAATAAGATTGTCACTGTATCTAACAAGGCCCTGGTGCAAGAGAGTAGCATTTGTCTACTATACCATTATTGACCTGCTTGATTCTTATTGACTTAGAGGACAGACTCATTGAAATTTTCAGCCAAGCAAATGCCAGCTTATTTGTAAAGGTCAAGTTGTACACTTAATTATGAAGGCTAGTTTCTGACTGGCTGGGGATGTAACTGAATGTATTTTTATTAGCTTTGACTAGTGAATAATGAGATCCCTCCTCCTGAATGAACAGGCAGCGTAGATTGCATTTGGTGTAAAATGCATTCCTTCCTCACTTCACAATGTTGGTTGGGGGGACAAAGGATTAGACTTCGTGTTGGCCAGTCCTGATAGGTGCTGGGCATCTGAGACTCTGAATTGCAGACGCTGGGTACCTCTCATTATATATTATTTGTGAGGAAAGAGCCTGGTTCTTCCCATAAGGAATTGAATAAATGCAGCAGGGCGTGTGCTGCAGAAGAGCCTCTGCGAATTCTCAGTGTGTCACAAAACTAAGACAGTTTGTGGCGAGTATTTTTCACACCGTGGGCTGAAGTTTGTGGTTTTTGTCTGACAACGGAGCCTCTGCGTATCAAAGAACAACACATGAGGGCAGGTGACTGGTGTCCTGTGTCCAAAATAAAATTGATGCAGTATCCTCAAATGTGAACAACTGTTGCTTGGTAATAGTGACTTAAAGGGGAAGATCCTGTATTTTTTTTAATGGGAGTAAAGGCAAATCAGAATAGGTAGATCATAACAAGCAACTTATTAGTGTTTATTCATTGGCGTTACTGTGGCGTTCATCATGATAGTATCTGAGTGCTTCCCATATGCTAAGAAATGTATCTTCACATCATCCTCATGAGGCAGGGAAGTCCTCGTGTCTCATTTTATAAATGGGGAATGGCTGGGGCACAGAAATTAAGTGACTTGCCCAAGGTGACACCGGATGACTGTTGCAGAGCTAGGTACAGAACCCAATCTCCTGAATCACCATCCATCCTTGTATCCACAAGAGCAGCACGTTCCAAACCCGAATTGAAGGTGTGAGGGCAGGTGTACACTGGACCCAAGGGGTTTTAGGGATTCCATTTTGAAGGGAGCATTCTAGTGCTGGCCCTTCAGTCTGGAGGTCTTTGCTTTTTTCTGTCATAGAGAAAAACTTCAGTGGTTTTGGAATTTTTAATTAAAAAAATTGTCGCTGCAGGACCAGTATTTTGCCTGAAGCATGGCAGATTTAGTAAAAACTGCCATTTTTGAGGTGTGTGTGGAGGAAATGTTCAGCAAATTAAACTTTTTGAGCTGCAAAGGTGATTTGGTGAAAATTTCCAAGCATTATATTTGCGGTAATCTCCCTGCTCCAACTGAAAGATTTCTCAGAGCATAGGGAGGGCATATCTCACACATTTGAAGGATTTGTTAATCTCCTGAAGTCGTTTTCAGGGTTTTTCTGCATTTGCAAACTACTTTGAATTCACAACTATTTTTTCCTGTATTTTATCTGGGTCTTTTCCCCTCTTTCCTTATCAAGAATGATTTAGTTTAAAAGAAAGTTAAGTAATGGGAAATCTAACCCGTGTAGTAGGGATAGAAGGACCCCACAGAATCTGGATTAGTACAAATAGATGATCTATATCCCGTATATAGAGTCTATTTAGTTTTTCTCTGTTCCTTTTTTCACAGTCTCTCCTAAGCAGGTTGCAAACTCCAGAATGTTTGAGCTGGAGTCAAACTTCCAAACAGGTTCAAAATTAGGAAAAATGAATCCACCTATCCACCAATTCTGATGCTGATCTGAAGAATAATTCCTTTGCCGTGTCCTGGCAAGGAGCTAAGGGTCCCACAGCCATGCTAGATGGTGCTGGCAGTATTCTTAAAAAATGTGAACCCTCTCCAAGGTGGTACAACTCTACCAACATGGTTGGTAACCGAGATCAAAAGGGGCAGAAACCCAGGAGTGCAAAGAGAGCCTCTCAGAGGCACAGCAACATCTCTCAGGTTTGTGTGCTGCACAGTGAGAATTCCTGTTCGTGGATGGTATTTTTCAAACTGTAGGTAAGGAAGTTTGAACTCTCTCTCTCATTATGTAGCTTCTGGTTTTCAGAGCACATCAGAGAGGTGTCCGCTGTCCAAAATAAAAATGACCCAGAATGTTCAAGCATAAATAAGTATTGTTTAGTAATCAGAGAAATTCTTAAGAGTTAAAGGGGCAGACCCTATGCTCGTCCAACTCGTTGTGTCTCACTGGGGAAGGTTCTCATGACATGAAATAGGGAGAATTCTGCACTCAGGGATTCTTTGTCATATGGGGAAGAATCATGGGATGCTGACGAAATCAGATTTTTTAGAGATCAGAGATAGACTTTGGGGAAAGAACCTTCTGCTGGGGCAAATCCTGGTGGTGTCTTGAAGATGGAGGAAATAGAATTGGATCTTCATGAAGGTGTAACATGCTCTATGTGTTTTATTCTTAAAGTGGGAGTGTGTGTGGGGTTGAGGAGGGGGAATTAATTAAACTTTCTTGAGCTGGTTTACCTGTCCCTAATACAACATCCAAATAAACCTCACACATTTCACAAAGGTTTCCAGAGGAAATCAGACTCACTAATGCCTGTGGTAATGGTGGCCAACAAATAGACTGCCCATTTACATGCTGCAATACACTAGAAATGGGCAGAGGGTTCAAAAACTTTGCTGATGGTGAAACTTTGATGAAAAACTGAAACAACATTTTCATCTCCCCCAATTCCTTTTCCTCTCATCGGAATAAAGCAGTGCAAAACAATACAATAACCCAGTCTAGACTAAACCATAGCTATAATACTTCCTTGTATGCTGCACCATAGGGACTGTATTATAAGATTTTGGTTTCCAGACATGCTAGTAGGATGCTCACAATACATTTTCAGTGAGTAGTAACAACATCAGACTTGTGGCTTACTATGGAGGCTGTTACGGCATTGGCTGTTACAACAGGCGACTGCAGTTCTCAGGTAGTTGTGAGTTCAGGTTTCACCGTGTTACAGAAAAATATTAAAATAAAGGTATCAATCCTTGTAATGAGCAAATAATACGACTGTGTTTGTGCTGGACATGAAACAACAAACCTTTTGCTCTTTTGTCTCCTTAAGTGTCTGTGTTTTCTTAGAATTAATGGTGTTTTGGGCATTTTTGAGATATGTGGCCGTTCACGGAGGGGGGGAGGGTGTCATTTTGATTGTGAGTTTATGGAAGTCATCTAGATACCATGGTGTTGGATGCTCTAGAAATGGATAAATATAGATTGTGCTTAAAGTTCTAGCCAATTTCTGAGCCACAGGAGGAGCAATGAGTGAAGGGAATTGCGAAATAGAGTGATCTGAGGCTGCCAACCAGTGATTTTTTTTTTAAATAACAATGAACCCTCTTATCTCCCTGATCTTGCTTCCCACCCACCCAAATCTTCCTTCTCTCAATCCTCACATCTGCTTGTAATCCGTCTGGTTTTGCTTGGTGCATTCCAACCACTGGAAGCAGAGGTGAGGACCAAGCTTCAAAATTCAGCTCTGGATTTTGAAGTCCTTCCCCCTCCGAGCCCCAGCTCTGGGGATCTTCAGTTCTGGGGTTTGGGATCAGCCCATTTCAGAAATGAAGACAAGCAATGAAATTCATCTCTGTATTTGGCTGTGGAGTCTAAATTCCCAGGCACATCCATGACAGAATCTGCTTAGATTTGCATGATTTTTGGATGAAACCATAACTCAGCCTAGCCTTGCTTGAAACCCTTCAGCAAAACTTTGGTGAACCTGATGGGGGAGTCGTATTGATCTCTTGGACACAGCACATTCTGCCAGGCTTGGGGTTACATTCCCAAAGTTTTGCAAAGCTCTTCCATCGAGCTATCCAGGGGTAACCCTTGATAGAAACCCTCATTTCCTCTTGGTCTAGTCAGTACCTGGGAATCTTCCACCCGGGGGAGTGTGTATTTGTTTTTTTCTCAGGCCTGTCCTGCATGTCGTCTTGTCTTTGTGTGTGGTGTTTGTCTTCTCAGTGTCGGTTCCTAAACTCAGGACCATCTATCACTGAGTGTGTCATTTTGGAAGCAGCCTCCATGAACCCTCGGCAAAACAAAGTCAGCCAGGATCCCAACCCCAGTGCCGCTGCTGCCTTTTAGCTGCTCCTCAAACTATCTCCCCTCTTGTCCCCTCTGTCTGTATATTCAAATGAGGTGAAAAATTATATATGTAGTCACAAGATGGTGGAACTTGGGGTCCACTCCTTCCCCTCCCTCTGCAGGGAGGGACAAGCAAATAGGAAGGTGGGACAAAAGGGAAGTCTACCACTCAGCTTGAATGGGAAGTTATTTTCCCCCTTTATCCTCTTTAGATAAATTAGACTGATGGCAGTAGAGGCATGTTCAGTAATATAGAACCCACCCCTCGGGATTAGGAGTGCAGTTACACTTGCAGCAGCTGCCTGTGCATGTCTTATCTGCTACAGAAAAAGAACTTCCATCACCCGCCCCCTTCTCCGATTTTATCTAGTATCATTGCTTCCCTTCCTCCCTCCCTCTCCCTCTCTCTCTCTCTCTCTGACCTCTTCACAGCTCCACATTGCTCTCGGTCTCCCAAGACTGTTTTCCAGCACAGCTCTGGAGGCGTGTTCACTGAGCCAGGACTGGGCAATGAGCAGAGAAAACAGCAGAACGAAAAAAGCCAAGAGAGTTCAGCGGGTTGTCAGCAGTCCTCGTACCAGAGGCTAAACTCGCTGCCCTGAAAGAGACCAGGCAGGAGAGGAAGTTGCTCCTCAGTGAGAAAGGAAGAGAAAACAAAAGAGAAACTTTGAAACTGGCTCCACTTGTGGTCTGAGCGTCCTCCCCTTCACCCCCGTTAAATGAAAGCACTGAGGAACACGAGAACATGCTGAGCTGCGGAGGAGTGGAGAAGGGCAGCTTTTAGTGGTGTGTGGTTTGTATTGAGATCAGAGAGAGAGAGCAGAGGTGGGAGGGGAAGGTGAAAGGGGATCTGATGCCTGCTGCCAATATGACAGAGACCCTCCAGCTCCCGGCATTGCAGGTCCCAGAGCAACAGGTGCCAGAGTGCAGCCAGGCCTGGTCCAGTTCGTCCACCCCCACCCTGCGCAGGAGGCGCTTCAAGATGAAACGGATGAAGAACGTGCAAGAGCAGAGCCTGGAGGCCGGCGGGTACCAGGACTCTCCCTCACCCAACAAAGAGTTCCTGCAACTCCCATCCATAGAAATCACCCCATCCAGTGATGAGGACACCCCATGGTCGAACTGCTCTACGCCCAGCGCCTCCCCGCGGCGCAAGCGATTCCTGCTGCGGAAGTGGCTGCGCGTGAGAGAGAAGAAGGAATACAGTGAAAGCAGGTATGTCATTGGCCAAACCTCCCATTCCCTGCAGCTGAGAAGGCTCCCACTAGGACAAGGCAATAGCTCCTACTGTTACCTGTAGAGGGCTCAGCCCGCTACCCACAGTGTCTTTGTCCCCCTCTAGTGGCTGAGCTATTTTAAGTGGTATATTAGATTGTTGCTGACTCCAGGCTTTTGGCCGTAGAGATTCATGCTTTTAGAGCCGGATTCAATCCCTGATTGCCATACCTTTAAAGTGAGTTTAGTGCTGGTGAAAAGTGTCAGACTGATGGCCATGGAGACAGAAGGCCCTAAGAGATGGGCAGTGGCAGGGCAGTCTTCCTGTATGTATCCGACCCCTGGCCTGCAGAGTCCCCCTGTAGAGAAGGAGGGGGGAGTTCAATCTTCATGGCCCATTCAGTCCTTGGCATGTCTGCTGAGACCGCCAAGGCAGGGACCAGTTAATGCCAAACTTGCTAGTGGTTTTTATGATGCACTCCCCTCTCCCTTAGGAATTGGACTGAAGTTCCCTAACTAATGTCATACAGACTGCTGCACATTTGTCAAATGGCAACGAGAGGACAGTGAGGGGCAAGCTGGGCTTGTGACTAAAGCATAGACCTGCACATCCAGGGAGGGGTCTGAGCTCTGTCCCCGGCTCTGCCACAGACTTAGATGTACTGTGCTTCAGTTTATTCATTTGCAGAAAAGAGACTAATTAATGCTCATCTGCGTCACAAGGGCATTGCACGGCTTAATTCATGAAGAACTCTGAGGGCTTGTCTACTCCACGCAGCTTTTAGCAACAAGGCTGTGTCGACATAGCCTTGTCACTAAAAGTCAGCATGTGTAAACGCTCTTTTTTGGTACTTTGTCGACAGTTTTGCCGACAAAATACTTCTAGCCCCACGAGCGGCGTTAGCTTTGTTGGCAGGAGAGCGCTTCTGCCGACAAAACTGCGTTCATACTTTTGTCTTTTGCACTGGCGGGGGAAGGCTTTAAGTACCCGTGAAAGACAAAAGTTTTGTCGACAGCTTTGCATTGTAGACAAGCCCTGAGTCTGAGATAGAAGGTTTTATTGGTATCCAATGTACTATTATAAGAATTGGTGCAGATCTCTACTGACCTGGGTGTAATTCAAACCATTGACCAAGAGATGAGTCACGCTTTTCCCTTTCCCAACGCTATCCAGTCCTCTGGGAACTACAGTCCGAAAATTGGCTTGCTGAGGATGTTTTGACATATGTCCCTGTGCCTCTAGTGTTAGAGTTGGAGTTGCTATTGTTATAAGTTTTGGTGGCACTGCGAGATGTGCGTGCATTAGCTGGGTTGCAACTCAGAGACAGAGTTCAGTTTTTTGCTTTTCACCAAAACTTGAAAAATTTCAAAGAAAATCTATTATTTTTTGTTGTTGTTTTCATCAATTCTTTTGCAGGAAAAACAATAATTTTCTTATTAGCTCAGTTTGTGGGCTTCAAGCCTGCATATGCATATTACATTTTAAAAAAAGTAAATTTAAGGAACCATATGATGTCCTTTTCTGTTTCTACCCTGTCTAGCAGGTTGTTCCATTAACTGCTATGTTGTCCCAGTGGTCTGGTGGAGGAGTTAAACCCATCAACACATCTCTCTGGGGCTCCAAGTCCACTCCCAGTCTCGCAAAATCACTTCCACTAGGTCCAATTGCATTTGCAAACCTAAGGTGCTGCTTTAGCAACACCAAGTCTCAAGGATGTTCTGCTGATGAATGCATTTCTGTACCAGCAGGTGAGGAATGACTGTACAATGGCCTCTCTTGTAGAAAGTGATCATTTTGGAAAAAAATTCCCTGACATTGTGAACATTCAGTGTCATTCAAATGATGGTTTAGGATACAGATAGGGATGGTCTTGAAAACATAGGAGAGATTGTGTGGTTGGTGTGTGTGTGTGTTAGAGAGAAGTGTCTGAATTACAGAGTTCAGATTTGAACTTCACCAGGGTTGATGGCATTTTAGATGCAGCATTTTTATTTGGGTCTATCTCTGGGGAGAGAGAGAGAGAGATGTCCAAGGACATGCAGATAGTGTTCTGGTTATTAACCCTCCTTAGCAAATTTCTGCACTCTCCCTGATTACATTTTTGAAATGGTGACTGGAAAAAAGCTAAGGCAGTTTTTGGATTAGGTGGCATTAGCATACCAAGGCCAGCATGGCACCTTCTCTTTTCATGTATTACAGGCTCCAAATCCATTCCTCGGCAATGGAAAATAGATCAGGTTTTCAAATGGAATTCCTCCCTTCCCAGCCCAGAGGAAAACAACATCTAATTCTTCTCCTGCCCTTTTCTGCTGAGCTTGCGAGCTTGGAGAACATAAAGAGGATCAATGCACATCTAGAGCACGGCAGGAGAGGGAAAAAACAGGGGTTGCTGGGTCAGAGCAGGGAGTTTGTCCAAGCAGGCTATGGTGAACCAGGAGAATTTTGCAGGGGTGAACGACAGTGTTCGGTTAACGCTGCTCCCAAGGTTGGTTGCACTGCAGTATAAACCTCCTCATGTCATGAGGCACCTCTGGCCTAATGTGCCCTGGAGAGCAGCAGGAGAAAGCTGGCCATATGAGAAACAGATTAATCATTCTCCATCCATCTTCCCGTACTCTAGGCTTGGTTTCCACGAGTGTTGGCTCTTCTGGGGCAATATCGTGTCGCTATTACATGGACATCAGCATCATAAATATGAGACCGGTGCTAGTCAAATCACTTAATACACTATTCATAGGTTCATAGACTTTAAGGCCAGCAGGGACCATTATGATCTAGTCTGACCACTTGAATAACACAGGTCATAGAATTTTACCCAGTAATCTGAGCTAGAGAAATTTTTTAGAAAGACACCCAATCTTGATTTAAAGACTTCAAGTGATAGGAAATCCACCACATTCTTGGTTTGTTTTTCCAGTGTGTAATTACCCTTTGTAAAATATGTGTACCTTATTTCTAGCTTCTGCCTTACTGGAAGGCAATCCTAACCCAGTGATGGGCATGGTAGAAGAACCTGATAGAACAGAGTGTCTGCTCTACTAAGACCCTTGATGGTTGATTTAATTTTCTACATTTGAATAGCCCTGGCTTCATTTTTTCCTCTCCCAGAAGTGTTGACCCAGCCGCACACCCAAAATCACTAGTTACTGTTGGAAACTTGGGCCCAAGTCTTTCTGATGACACATTACCTTCTGGTTCCCTTAAAACTCTTCCTTAGTTTAGTAATGGCACAATTGCAAGGAAGAAGAGGTGACTTGTCATCAGCCAAAGAGAGGACAAGCGAGATTCTTGTTCACATACATAAGATGCCAGGGTTTTCTCAAGTTCATTATAGGTTAGACATCAAAAGAGAGCCCATAATGATTGTAAGTTGTTTGGGGAAAGGACTACCTTTTTGTTCTGTGTTTATACAGCACGTACCACAACGGGGTCCCGGTCCATGGCTAAGGTTCCTCGGCACTGTCACAAATAAGTAAAAAATAATAACACATTTCATGAGGCTGTGCAAACTATATCCAGTTTAATCCCATCCTTCACGTCCCTGAACTTCAGTTGCTGCCCCATCTGCAAACTGATGGTGATGGTGCTTACCAACTTTTGTAAGGCATTCGGTGGCCCTTAGATTTAAGGCACTATGTAAATGCAAAATATTATTATTTTTATTATTTATTATTAAGGCAGAATGGTAACAGCCATTATGATACACCTCACAGGCAGGCCAAAGCAATCTGTTAGCGTTTTGCTATGCCTGCAATGAACATGCATTATTTATGAGGTGAATGTGATAGTGTATCCGCTTTAATTAATTAAAAAGAAAAGGAGTACTTGTGGCACCTTAGAGACTAACCAATTTATTTGAGCATGAGCTTTCGTGAGCTACAGCTCACTTCATCATACATCTGATGAAGTGAGCTGTAGCTCACGAAAGCTCATGCTCAAATAAATTGGTTAGTCTCTAAGGTGCCACAAGTACTCCTTTTCTTTTTGTGAATACAGACTAACACGGCTGTTCCTCTGAAACCTTTAATTAATTAGTTCATTTGTTTAACAAAACCCATGCATCCTAATCTCTGGGACCATGTATGTTTCCTTAGAGACCGTGCAAGGGCCAATGTCCCCCCAAAATAAATGGAGTTGACCATGGAATTGAGATGCCCTGCCCACACAACCAGACTTTGGCAAAAGCCAGGAATAAATAGATAGGCATTGCTGTATGGCTTGAAGGTCAAGAGACCCCAACTCTGATGTGTGCACTCCATGTCTCTATATAGGTAAATAGTTAATAGATGGGGTTTGAAAGTACATAACATGTGTCCTGGATTCCATAGTACTGATACAGCTTGTTGCAGTGCACTGCAAATGGCTTCCATTATGCAAACCTTTACATCAGCTCTTAAGTCAGTGGACCAGCTGAGTTTCCAGAGAGGAGGGTCCTCCCCTAAAAACTCTTTGACCTCAGACCTTTAAATCTGCAGACTGTAAGCAAGAGCTCTTATTCTGTTAACTTCTCACCTCCCTTCTGCACCATGGAAAAGTCCTGGGGTTCATACTCTGGAAAAATACTCATTGTGGGTATTTTGCTTAACTATAAGGACTGAGTGCAAAACCCAAAAGAGTAAAAACTTCAGAAACTCCCCTACCAGAAAGCTGCTGCAAAGAACAAACAATATAGACCTCAGTGAAACCTCTGGCTTTAGCCTGTCTTTATGGTAGAATATAGGGGTCAGGAAAGAGCAGCTAATGCTGTGAGAAATGCAGGTGGTTTAAAAAAAATTGTGGAACAAAACCCTGCCCCATGATGGGTTTCATTTCATGCCCTCAGTTTCTGAGAAGTGGCAAGCTGAGTCATTCTGCGAGTTTAGCAGCTTCCAGGTGTCTCTGGCTTTCAGAAGTTTCCCCATTTGATTTTCAAGTCAAAAGGGGGAAAAAAATCTTCCCCATTAGAAAAGTTGCATGTGACTAAATCTGGGAACTAGCAGGAGTGTGAGAGTCAGCAGTA